GGGAGGGAGGGAGGGAGGGAAACTGACATCACTATCAGCTTTTTGTGGATTTTTATTCCAGCTTTAATTATTTTCTTTGTTTTTCATGCAGTTCCTCCCAGACCACATAAACCACAAAGCCAGTCTGGTTCCGTTAGCAGACCAGATCCCCTGCCTGACTTGAAAGAGCAGGTTTGGTATTGGGGAGAAGCAAGCAAGTAAGACATAAAATAGTTACAATTTCTATCCCTTATTGGGGAAGGTACATTTTTTATCAGGGAGCAGGCTGGGGCTTGAGGGGGGGGGGGGGGTTATCAGTTAAAATTTGAGTTTTCATGGGGTCAAACCTTTTTACTTTGACAAATGCAAGTTCCTTGTTGACTCAATAAAAGAGGGTTATAAATTTCTCACTGAGTGAAAGAGGGAGGGCTACAACTATTAAAAAAAAGTTTACTGCAATACCAGCCCTTCCCCCTAATAAAAAAACCTACCTTTCCTTGACAAATTATTTAAGGGGGTGCCAGATTAAATATATTGCATCTTGTAAACTGCCTGTGCCACTTCAGGAAGGAATATAAATAGCTAAGCATGGGGATCTGGACAGACAGTAAATCTAGTGTCAGGGGCTAACTAATAGAAGGCTTACATGAAATTTTAGATACATTAAAGTTTGGTAGTTGATTAATTTGGCTGTTTATTGATTGTGTTCATTTTTTATTCTTAATTCCAGAGAGCAGGTTCAGGAGCGTATGAAAGACACAGAAGATGGTTCTTTTATTGTCAGAGATTCCAAGAGATTCCAAGGAGAATATACCTTAACACTAATGTAAGAAAATAGCTGAAGCAAGACATGTATTGGGTCCATACACACAAATGTTCTTACCTGGTCATCATGCAACGTTAAGTCACAAAGTGTTTCCTCCCCACAAACAGACAAAACCTTGCGTGACAACTCTATTAAGAACTTCTTTATCTTGAAAGGTCGTTGTTCATTCAATTGCTGTGACTGGTTTCTTTGCACACATGCAGCTTGAATAGGCCATGTTGGTTCCACCCTTCAGATTATTCCAGCTAATTGTACCATTTTTTCTCAATGTATATAATACATGGGTGGTGTAGCTACGAGAATCCTTGCCTCTCAATAATGCAATCCAGAATTGATTTACAAATTCAGTGTTGTTTGTGAGTAGAGTTGCTGGTTTCTCCTGTGCTTCAAGGGTTTTTCTACAGGTTTTTTGTTTTCCTTCAGTTCCTTCAGAGTTTAGTAGAAAAAAAGGCCATTCTTAATGCCATTATTGTTTTTACTACTTCTTAAATGGGTAGCAAAGGTTTGTTATGCTGCAACGGGTCGGGTTGCTGGTTTGGGCCTTGAGGTCGCCACATGTTATGAATTGAGTTTGTTTGATGTATTGTTCTCTCCTTTGCTACGAGGGTTTTCTCCAGTTTCTTCCTTTTGTAAAAATCAACTTGTGAGTTAAGCCTTGTGTACATAAAACATTGAATGTAGTGGTAGTGTGTGTGAGGCCAAACCAAAAAACAAGTGTGTTTCCTGTTGCATGAGAAAAATAATTGGGGTCGGTAGGTCGGATTTTTTTAAATTAATTTTTTTTACTGATACAACAGTGGAAATGAGCTTACTGGGAACCCTGTGGTGCATTTGGGAATAAAAAATTTTTAGGGTTGGCGAAAATCGGCAAGAAAATTAGGGTTGGTTGCACAACAGGAAACACACTTTTTTTTTTTTTGGCCTAAGTGAAAAGTGTCCAAAACGCTAGAACGACTAGACACTTAAATAAAGACATTTTCATTTATTTTTTTACTAACTTTTGTTTTCATATTTTTCATCTTGTAGGAAAGGAGGAGTAACTAAATTAATCCGTATTATGTATAAAAACAACAAATATGGTTTCTCAGAGCCCTTGACTTTCCACTCTGTTGTGGAACTTGTCAACTACTATAAAGGCAGGTCTCTAGCACAGTATAATCCCAAGCTGGATGTTAGGCTCACACACCCCATCTCCAAGTACGAACAGGTATGATAACAAGCATGCACCTTGCTTTCAAACCGGGTTACTTTTTGACATTCATCATCATCATCATCATCATCATCATCATCATTATCATCTTCCCATAAGTAATAAACATTTCCTAATAGCATAAATTCTTTTAATCATTGATTTTTCTATTATTTTTTACCTCTGATCAGGAGGACGAAGTTGCCCAAAACTCTGAAAACATAACCATTTTGGAAGATTTGGAAAAGATCAATGCAGAGTTGGATAGTGAAACTAAGAATTTCGAAGGCCTCCGTAAGGAATATGATGAATCGATACAGGTAATTAGCTATGACACAGAAATACTGAAATGTTTACTTTACAGTTAATGTACATCATGAGTGACCCAGAGGAACATGGTGCACATCCCAAGCACAATGACATCGATGCGCATCTGTACCCGCATGGTACAGAACCCAGAGTTATCTGCAAGGGAGTACGGCAGACATAAATTTGTTGATTGGTCTTCCTGTGGTACATAATTTAATTGATTGGTCTTCCTGTGGTATGGACGCGCATGCGGTTTCTTAAAAGTCGCGCGGGCTCATAAGTATCTGGTCCCTTGGGATCTGGTGCACTTCCCACACGTCTTGAAACAAATACCCGTGTGTACCCGCATGGCACAGGGAACCCAAAGGTACCTGGTGTAGATACCCTTTATCTACCCACGTGCCACAGGCAACCCCAAAGGTATCTGGTACGTATCCTGAGCGCCATGTATTTACCTGCATGGCACAGGCAACCCATAAACACCTATTCGGCAAGGATCCAGAGCGCCTGCTAATATAACGTTTTGAACGATTTCTGTTTAGAATATTGCTGATCTTCAGTTAGTTTTGGATGCGCATAAGTCTGTTGTGTTAATGATCGAAGAACAGATTCGGATTCATGAATCATTTCAGAGGGAAGCACCTCCACAAGCACGTGTTATGTAAGTAACATCAAATGAAGCCGGTTTAGCCAGTTGACCAGTCAAGTTTATGATCAATACCCCTAAGCCTGCCCATAAATATATGATCACTGAAGGAACAGTGAGATGGCTGTTATTGAGTGTGTATATTCTCCTTCGAGAACGTTTCCGTAAAGGGGGGAGGGGAGTGATTGTCCATAACGGATGTTGAGGAGTAGTGAGGAGTGTCTGTTGTAGGGAGAGTTTTCTGTTATACATTTATACATTATTTATACATTATGTGAAATTGCTGGTTTTAATCATTCCCAATAGTATGAAATAACAAAAGACACGGCGGCCATGTTGGATGATATAACGAAAGAGACTAATGACGAATCTTTTGTTAAATTTATCCGGCTGTGAAAACCAGCAATAGATGGTGTTCTTTATCAGTAAAGTGTCGTAATTGGTCTCTGATACGTAGTACTTGTCTATAACGATGGACCTAACGAGAAGGGTTCCTGTAAACTGGAGGGGTTGGTAATATGTAGAGTGTCTGTAAACGGGAGGGGTTGGTAATAGGCAGGGTGTCTGTAAACAGGAGGCGGGTTTGTAATGGGGAGAGTGCATGTTTCTAATGTCACATTTATTGCTCTTTGCCAGGTTAAGAACAAATTTTGAATTGCTAAAGCACCGCTTGAACGAAGCACAATGTGAATTGCTGGAATCAGAACGCGAGAACTCCAACATTACAGAAGACAGTCGGCAAAAAGACCAGCAAATGAACATCCTTCGGTCGAAAATCATCGAACTACAGAAGAATAGACAACGTTATATGGAGTATGTTATTACTACAGTAGTAGCCTCATTGTCATCTAGATGTCGGGTGCCAAGTGCAAAGCATTATATCAGTGATTGTCCCATGTTTCAATTGTTTCAAGCAATGAACCTAGGTGTATAGAGTGTGCGCAACCATGTGACTCAAAATCCCTTGAGATATGAATAACAATGAAACAGCCGCCACCTTAGTTGATCTAACAAGAGAAGCTAATGAGGAATGCTGTGTTATTATCAACCAAGGTGGCAGCAATGACGTAACATGCACCTGCTCTATAGAGTGTGTGCAACCATGTGACTCAAAATCCCTAGAGATATGAATAACAATGAAACAGCCGCCATCTTGGTTGATCTAACAAGAAAAGCTAATGAGGAATACTTTGTTATCATCAACCAAGATGGCGACTATGACGTAACATGCACATGCTGTATATATGTGATTGATGTGTTACGCTTGATTTTCAGCATCCTAAAGGAAAAGGGATATTCACATGATGAAATCAAGGACATAGTCAACGAAGGGTAAGTGTATCCAGCATTAAAGAACACCTAACTCTCTGTTGTCATGTGGTGAAAACTATTTTGGTTTTAAAGAACTTTTGTTTAGTAAAAATTGATGCGCTTTAATTAGGTTATCGCCCTTGGTTCAAGTCGTTCTCTTGCTTCAGTGCCTCTCGGTCTGGGGCTTCAGAGGGAATGGTCATCAGTAAAAAAATGAACTTTTCTGGGGGGTCACGACATTTTTATTTTGATGAAAGCATTTTCCTTGTTAACTTTCACTCAGTAAGTAATTCATGACCTTCCCCATAAGCCAACAAGGAACTAGGCTTCATTTCGTTAAGATATTATAAATAGGGTTGAACTTCTACAAGAGCTCAATTTTTTACTTATGACCCTTATGAAGCCTCAGCCTTCCCCCATATATAAAATTAGGTAACAGCCAGTTCTTCTTTTTTCCAGGATTTATCAGATTCCTGACATTGATATGAGCGAGAAAAACTGGAGATTTGGAAAAATTACTAGGTAAGGGACTGCTAAAGGGTTATAAATATCCTGTTTACAAAAAAGTGGTGCTGCTCTTTTGATGTAGCCTAGGATTTTGATGATGGTAATGGTGATAAATGTTGGTGCCGTGGTGATAATGATGGTTATCATACATCGTACTCACTATCTCGCTTCTGATTGGCCGAGAGCCCTCAGCCAATTCCTGGTATCATGTGAACTAGGGCATGATCATCTGTAGGTCTTACTGCAGATAATACATCTATCACGTCAAGTTCACTAAAGGTCATAATGGACATTGAAAAACGTTTGCTTTTGTCTTTGCAGGGAAGAATCGGAGAACCTCCTGAAGGATTGCCCTGACGGGACGTTCATGATAAGAGAAAGCATCAATAGGAAAGACGAGTTTTCTGTCAGTCTATCGTAAGTAACGTCACGTCCTCTATTTGTACAGTTTTTAATGTTGTTTCGAAGTACATCCTTTTCTCCGTGTTACGCACGCAGGTCACTGCAACAGAACCTGAGGAGATTTGGCAAGGAGAATTTTAAAAAAATTTGGAACTTTGCTTGGTGCTGCATGACTAGAAGAAACGCGGGATCTAGGATGAGATTTTATTGTATGTTCTTGCGAGAAAGATTAACATTTCTATCGCATCAGTTTACAGTTCAGCTGGCCTGCTCTCCTCAAAGACTTTTCTCTTTATCTGTAATTTTATGCCGAAAATGAAGATGATGTCGTTGAAGTTGATCGTGTTGTTGATGTTGATGTTGCTTTAATGTTGTGGTGGTGGTGATGATATGGACCAGGAAAACCCTCAGTTTGTTCGATTCCAGTTTGTGAATGATTTGCATTATTATGATGCTATTCTTAAATGATTAACAGATTGACATCAGATTTTTATGTCAGGGCTGTCCTCTTACTAATGATAAAAAAATAACCAATCAGCGCGCGAGAAATTTGTAAGTTACCGTAATAAAATAGATGTTTTTGTTTTCAGATTCGACTTTAAAGTTCGTCACATCGCTATCTACAATGATTCCCGTGGGCATTTTGGTTTTGCTGCTAACTTCATGCTGTACGAATCACTAGCAGACCTGGTCAACCACTACCATCGAAACTCCTTACAAAAGCACAATCCTCATCTTGCCACTAAACTTGCTTTCCCAGTTAAGTTGGTTCTCGAGCAACGTAAACTCAATTAACAGTTACTATATTAGAATTATCAATGTAACTGCACTACGTTAGAGAGTTCAGTTACTTGAGATTTTCTATAAAATAGATAACCAATTATCTCAATGAATCCTTGTCATGGTAACACAGTTGCTATGGCAATGGGTTTTCAAACTGGGTGACGCAAGTGAGAGTCCAAACAGTAGCCAACTTTCGATTCTTTGATTCCGATTATAATCAGAGTTCGTGGACACATAGCGATAAATTTTTAAAAATCGCCGTAATTCTTGGTTTGCAGGCATTCTCAAGGAAATTACATATCGAAAGACATGGTTGCCATTTTGGATAACGTAACAAAAAAAACTACGATTCCCGAATCTATTGTGAATTCACCCAACATGGCGGCTGTGCCCTTGAACACCAACCAAAAAAAAAGGTTGAACTTTTAGCCCTACCGTATCAAAGTGATATAGGTCTATTCAGGTGACGGGCAAGCTGTCAGTAGAACATTCACTGTATGTACAAAACCACAGGGCATACTGGTAAAGTGTCTGCCTGATTAGCTATTCTAAGGCTGAGGAGAAACTGGGTCAAGTTGGCATTGCACTGCATTGTGGGAATGTTTTAGGGAACATATGTTCAAGCGTGTATTTCGTCTCCTATAATAGTCCTACAATGTATTGCAATGTCAGCTCGACCCAGTTTTTTTTCCTCGGCCTCGAAATGGCTAATAAGGAGATCATAAGGTCCACAATAGACCTCTTCGGCTTGGGGTAATGTTTTCATATTTCAGACCACGTGTCATTCCCTTGAGAATAAGATTCTTTGTTTGAGCTGTATCCATATTCATGTGTCTTCTCATGTGCAACCGAGCGCAAACCTTAAACAAAGAAATGATACTCTAGGGAATGACACGTGGTCTGAAATGGGAAAACATTACGTCATAGCCGAAGAGGTCTATTGATGCTTAAGATTTAAGACATTTTCTTTTGGCACAAGATTTCTAGGCGTTGCCATACAAATTGTGTTAGGGTTTGTTATTTTTTTGTGTATGGACTCTTGTAAGAGATTATTATACGAAATTTTGCATAAAATAAGAATTGTAAAAAATAGGTAGACAAAAAAAAAAGGACTTTTTAGATTGGGAGTAATATTTTAATACTGATTCTAAACCTCTTGGGAATGTTATTCCTCGTTAAAACGTTACTGGAAAATAAAGGAATAGTACTCAAGAGGTTGATATCCAACAAAAATGGCAAAAACTATATATCACGCCCAAAACTAAAACAATGTAGGCTAATTGAACTCTTTACTGATACGGCGGCCATCTTGAATTCTATTGTTTTAAGCAAGACATGGGATGCTGAGGGAGGAAATATTTGAAAATTTATAGACAGCGTAGCTGTCAGGGTGCCTTTTTATAAAACTTTACGTTATCCAACGTCGCGTAACACACTTAAAAACTAATATGTGAAGAGAGATGGAGAGAGATGTGAAACATCAAGGCGTAAAATCACTTGAAAAAGTAACTTGGCCACTTTATGCTTTATGCTGCCGTATCAGTAAAAAGCTCTATTGGGTTAAAAATGTGTGCTATCTGATATTACAAGGTAGGTTTTTAAGATTTACCAAACACCAACTAAACTGAAGTAAACGCAAGGCAGTTTCAGTATTACTGTCATTATCGTTGAAGTTTGACGTCTCCTGTGTGACTAGCATCTTAACGAACGTCAATCAAAGAACTGGGGAAAATATCTTGATGGAGACTTTAGATTGAATTAAAGATTTTGATCCTTTAATCCTTTAAAATCTTTAATTCTGTCCAAAATTTCCCTCAATATATTGTTTTTTATTTCAGTTCTTCGATTGGCGGTCGTTACTGAAAATGCTAGTCGGCGAACGAGACATCAAACTTCGAGGGTCGCACTTCAACGATAATGGTAGTAATACCTGTAACACACCAGCATTTCGAGACATGCCGTTCCAAGAAAATACCCTATCGTCAGCCAATCAGAATAAAGTAGTTTAAGTTATTGATGCAAAATTGCAACGACCTCGTACCCAGAGCCTGCGTTTCTTCTGGTCTGCGGCGAAGAACAAGGGCTCTGGCATAATCCATTTTTTGAATCCGCGATTTTTTTGGACCGGTATAAGAGCGCATACGTTAAAAGACTTGCCAAAGATTAAAAAAATATGTTTATGATTTTTAATTTTTATTTTGATCGGAAGTAAACACAGAACTCGGGTTGAAAGCATGATTTCAATAATTATATTTAACTTCCGGAAAACTGGGAATGCGTCAAAGAAGAAACGCCGGCTCTGGGTACGAGATTGATTTGACACAAAATCGTCTCACATTTACATTTTTTTTTTGGTTGACGAAAATAAAAAGTTTATTTTCTTGAGCAACTATCTACCAGTACATGCTTCGTTCTGATAAATGCCTGACAAAAATTAATATTAAAAACGAATAGGTTGTGTTCAAATACTAACTGATAATAAATGAATAGCATTGTAGACTAGTCATAAAATAATTGAAAAGAATTTAATAAACTTAGAAAATTTATATTTTTAAATGAAGTTGTTTTTCATCATCATTTTAAGGAATATAAAACGCGCGCGCTTGTCTTTGCTGTGATACAGCTGCTTTTTAAAAAAGGTTGAAGGGGAGAATGGCGATAGGCAATAGACGATAAGTGATAGATAGGTCATACCAAGATGCAAGAATAGATGAAATGACTTGTATTTATTTTTATTTTTGTCAATAACACAGATGTTGTTGTGATATTTAGTGTTCACTCGATCGACGAAACCATTGTGCCCATTGTGCCTTTCGGTCGTGCAATCGCCAATCGCCGATCGCCATTTCACCAAATTTCGTAGACTTTGTTTTTTAAAGCCACTTTATACCAATTCTGCCCCATAGTTAAATTCAGGAAGGAAGCCTAGGTAGAACAGAGCATTTACAAGCATTTATGGATAAACGGTCTTGCTATAATTCTCAGCCAAAGGAAAGCACATAAGAATAGCGGATAACTTTTATCTTAATTTTCCTAAACCGGCATCACTGCCAAACAGACCAGACTAATCATAAGACGCGGGGGAATGGACATCGAGACATTACAATAATTACCATTTAGATGTTGTCAAATATGCGTGTAATTGATTCGAGACAGTGTTTCACAGTTATAACGGACAGAGGTGGATTCGAACTTCCGTTATCGCAAAGAGCAGATTGCCTACTTATTTGGGCATCGATCTTCCTCGGACTGGACTCATTCAAATTATGTTAAGCACGAAAAAGTCAGGTCTTTCGTTTATTAACCGTTTGTTATAGGCTGCTATATGAGTATGAAGAAATTGTATAAAAAGCTGTTGCCATCGATCACGTGACACTGATTTAAAGCACGAGAAGCAAGCTTCATAATTGTCAAGAAAAGAAGAAAAAACAATGAAAAACTCAGTTAATATGTATATAATCATCAAATCGCCAACAATATTATTTTAAGCATTTAAGTTCTTTCTCGTTCCCACAGATCAGTTCAACGAGAACTCCGAAATGAGAAGCCGTGCTGTTACTGAATTGAAACTTAGGCGGAGTTTGAACTAAAAAATGCCATGTTGTAAGGTTAATTTGGTTAAATATATAAAACTTTCTGTTCGATATTTAAAAAAAATAAACATTGTCCATGTTTCGTGATCGTACGTGGATATGTTTTGATGGAGCCAGTGAGACAGAGACACCATCGACAAGGAGTAACGTTGGTGCTGTCTTCACTGCCCTCCGGCTAAATGGAATGATTTGTTCAATATACAACTTCTACGTATTTCAGTCAGGTACATTTTACAATTAGACCATATCAGGGTACCATATCAGAAAATAATTACGCCATGCCTGTAAAAAAGCGGATATTATACTAATACACTAGTTTCAGTTCCCACAATATGGCTTGATTAATAGTTTAAAAGTAACTTTAATATTAACTAAAATGGTTGTTATGGAAACTTATCTTTAGAAATAAAATGTACATTCAATTGAAAATTATAATGAAAAATGAAGACATTTGTTTTTCAACTGAATGAAGAAAAAAAAACTGAAAGCGATTATTTTGGCGCCGGTGCAACTGTTTATTCATTCTGCCACGTAGAAGCTGGTTTTAAGTTCACTTTTGACTTCAGTTACATCCTTCTCTTTGCAGTTAGCCCATTGTTAACCCCGAGTTAAAAGTTTAGTTAAAATATTAAATGGATATATTTTACTATAATCATTACTTGTCGTTGATATGATAAAGAGATTATCCCGTGATAACTCTGATTTATCATGAAAACTTAGTTACATTCTTTATATTTTGACTAAATTGAGATAAACAACGAGAGAGGGGGACGAGAGAGGGGGAAATCTGAGCCATTTTTCCATCAGACATTCGGAATTCTGTCAAAGTCTTTAGTCCATAAATTAGGGCAATCCGTAAACTATAATTTCAATTTTTGTGGAGGGTCAAACACTTTTATTTTGAAGAAAGCTAGTTCCTCGTGAACTTAATGTGGCAGAAGGTTCGGTTATTTCCTACTGAACGAAAACAGGAGTGCCTCCAACGGATAGCGTGCTTCTTTAATATTTATTATTTATGAATGTATTTCGGCAAATATTTTTGGCTTTGTCTTTTCTTTTTCTGGCAGTTTATTTTCTAGCACTTCTACGTTAGAAGACTGAGCATAAACTTTAAAAGTTCATTATCTCCAAGGCGCGGAAAGGTAAGTAGGGGCTGTCATTAGTTATTGTGCTGTATGCTTTTTTCTGTTTATATAAAATTAATAGGTACAACTTTACCTGCTATCAACCTGGTAACTTCCCTTTGCACCTGCCAATTTTTGAAAGGTAGTGTTTATCTTCTTTGAATTTTGCTGTTTTAGCTCCATTTTAAGTAACTTTGTGAAAGCCAAGATAATTGAACTTCATTTTCGACGCTTTTAAAAATTATAATTACGACACCAAATATTAGCTGGAAACATCATGAGAGATGCCGTTACGGTTACCATAGGATTAGTTTGCGTAAAACTATCTCTTTTCTATTTTTACTCTCTTGTTTTTCAATTCAAAAACAATTAAATTCAATGTTTTAGGCCGAAGTTTTGAAGAAACTTTATGCATTCATTATCATTCAGTTGATATGTCTACAGTCTGCTTTTTGTTTATCTTAAATCTGGAGAAAATAAATAAATTCATTAACTATAAGAACTATTATTTCGTCTTGCTTTTAGGAGACAACCATAATTTAAAAAAAAGAAACCGGTTAAAAAAATTAGCAATTTAAAAAATTTGAATAAAGTCCATGTCAGAGAAAACCCACCGGAAATTCCATATGATCGAGGCACCCGTCAAATCTCCGCTTCGACGTGTGGTGCATTTTAATTGGTCGATACAGGCCACGTGTTTGAAATCTTGAGACCTGATTGGTTGTTTTAGGGATCGGCCAATCAGAACGCACCACGCAGAAGGCCGGTCAGAGCGTTGTTCCATTCACATGGTTTCTTGACAAAACTTCACGCTTCCTTCTTAAAGCCATTCTTTTATAGTCAAGATTGCCGAATTGTGGTCCTCTAGAAAGCTAAATATGTTCCTGCATCGACTTGTGCTGCTTTCCTTAGTTTCATATGTCTTCTCGACAGATTATTTTGTAGAAAAATTTGAAGGTAAATCTTGCATTTCTCCGTGTGTTCTTCTCTGATTTCGTAGTCCATCCAAGCTTGAAGTTTGAATTTTGAGAGCATGGTGTGTCTTATTTCACAAATCAAAATCAATATTCTCTCCTTAGATAAATCTTGGGAAGATAGATGGGTTCAGTCCACGAAGAAAGGAGCTGAAGCAGGCAAATTTATATTGACTGCCGGTAAATTTTACGGCGATGCAGAGAAAGACAAAGGTTTGTAAGCCTCACGATTCTGAATCGAAATTCGCCTATAATTTGTTAATTGAAAAAATATATGAATAGCTATCTTTAACCCTCAATGAAAATGAGTGTATTCAGCTGAATAGATGTTCGTTATATTCACGTTATACATATTTACAATTGATTTTTATTCTTTAAAAACCAAGGTATTAAGACTAGCCAAGATGCAAGGTTTTATGCAGTTTCGGCCAAGTTCGACAAGCCTTTTTCCAACGAAGACAAAAATCTAGTTATCCAATTTACCGTCAAGCACGAACAGAACATAGATTGTGGTGGTGGTTATATCAAGGTAACTAAGGAATAACTTAATTTTCGATTTTTTTCTTTGAGATTTTGGGTGTAGAAATCTTAAAATTGTAGTTCCGCCATGTTCTTACTGTATGGGGTGGGGTGGAGTAGGATGGTCCTAACATTGCTGTATTCTCTTGTCAGGTCTTCGCAAGCGATTTGGATCAGAAAAATATGCATGGAGATTCCCCATACTTGATTATGTTTGGTAAGTAGTTGCATTTCAGAATATGTGCACATCTATAATTTTATATCCACTTGATTTCTACCCCTAAATTAAGATATTGTTGACTGTTATTATTTCTGGACCCCCTGTTAGTTCAAAATCAAGATATATTAAGTATTTCTGCAAGTGGTCTACCAAGCATCCTTAGGGACCTATTGTTTTTTATGTAGCAGGGGGACAGTGCTTTCATAAAAAAAGCATTAAGTATGGTTTGTACCCCCCATAGATATATCAATTAAAAATGTATCCCCACTTCATTCTGTTATAATTTTGGGAAAAAATGTTATGGCTTAGCAGCTCAAATTAAAAGTTAGTGAACTGCATGATAGCAAAGAATCTAAAACTCTACCGCCCACTTTCAGTTGATTTTGAAAATTCGCCTCTAAAAAAAAATTCCCATTGACATAATAAACAACAAAAGTCAAAAATCTCTTAGATTTTTCTGCAAATGGGAAGATAATCAGTTTCATTGAGAAAAGCCTATGTAACTGAAAAAATGTCTATCAATTTTATTGATTAAGAGTCTATCTTTGCATTAAACAAATTTAGACAGACTCCTTATTACCCCGGTTAGCATCTTTTATTTATTGTGAATGTTTGATAAATGACGATTTTTAATGAGGGAGGCTCGCATCCTCATACAGTTTTTCAGTGAGTCTCTGAATACAAGTGCATTACAGAAACACGGGTACAAGGGGATTAAGATGGTCTGTCATAGAGGGAAAATGGATGGTTTTTCATTCAAAATTCAATCTTTTGTCTTTAGGCCCAGCCTTTCATGCATTACCAGCATCCTCATTTTGTACTGTATGTACAAACGCAATGTTATTATGTTTATAAGAGTGATTTTCATGTGTCTTTATTCCAAATACTCCAGGTTCTGCACCTATTCTAGCAATTACCTATTATTCAACAAATTAACAATGATCTAAATTGGTAAATGTTTGATTGAAGCACTGATCCCTTGGAATTATAGAGGACAAAGAAACATTAGATTAGAGACATTAGAAACAAACTGAACTATTTTCTTATTCGGTATGATCTTCATGTACAGGACCTGACATTTGTGGACCAGGAACCAAGAAAGTTCATGTCATTTTCAACTATAAGGGAAAGAATCTTCTGACAAAGAAGGAAATTAGATGCAAGGTATAGTTGGTGCATTGTCTCCATTATCCATTTTCAGATGAACCTTTCACTGCTATACAGCTATATATTATTTCAAAGCACACTGCAGGTCAGAGATCTGAAATCTGAAACTGAGTAACACGCTGCAAAATATAATGTATTTAGTGCTAAACAAATAGTTCCCTTTTAGATTCAATTTTTCAGATTTTTGCCATAAAGCATAAACCCGCAAACATTCTGTTCAGTCTAGGATCCCTTTTTTCAGATCTTCAACTGAAATTTTTTTAAATAGGTGTATAATTGTCCAAACTTTGGAAATTAAGGTTGCAAAGCTTTAACACAATTGCCTCTCACCTCTGGGGTCTTGGGTTATATTCTCAGACTCTGCATTGTACATGAGTCTTTTAGGTCTCTCTCTTGATATGAGGGTTTTTCTTTGGGTTCTCTGGTTTTCCTCCCTCTGTAAAGCCTCTGTAGTGCTTTCAAGTACCAATCTTAATTTAATATTCTTTTTCGTTCTATGTATAGGATGATGAAATGACCCATCTCTACACCTTAATTGTGAAACCAAGCAACACCTATGAAGTTAGAATTGATAATGAGAAAGTAGAGAGTGGTGAACTTGAAGAAGATTGGGATTTCCTTCCACCCAAGAAGATCAAAGATCCAAATGCCAAGAAGCCTGAAGACTGGGATGATAACAAGAAAATCGATGACCCAGAAGACAAGAAACCAGAAGTAAGGACAAAGCTATAGCACTAACATTAATGATAATCTGTGTGCTAAATAATACACATAGCTGGTTGTATTAATGTTGTTGTAAAAATAGTGGTATTTGTTACTCACAAGGAACAGACCTAATGTAGTTAAAAAAATACATTACAATACAGATTTGGTTAACCCTCAAAGTCACACCAAGGGTCACAAATAAATAACAACAATAAGAATACAGATTGAAATGAGTACTGATTCTATTACTTTTTCCTTGTGACTTTTAAGGATTGGGACAAGCCACAGAACATTCCAGACCCTGATGCCAAGAAACCAGAGGACTGGGATGATGAAATTGATGGGGAATGGGAGCCACCAATGATTGACAATCCTGAGTATAAGGTAAATACCTACAATCCCTTGTGAACATCTCCTTTTGAGTTTCAGTTGCAATCAGAACTGCAGAAGTTGCAGCATAGAATCATCAGTCAAAAATCCATGAAAGTTCCATGAAAATTTTACTGCTGGAAAAAGATCAAGCCGATGATAAATAAAAAAACTTTGTTGTCTAACGTTTTTCTTTGATCTTGTGTTTATATCCTCTGTAACATTTCAGTGTATTGCAGGATTGTTTTAGGGATGAAATAGAAACCAACTTGGAAATATGTTCCCTAAAACAGTTTCACAATGCAAACTCAACCCAGTTTTTAACTCAACATTGGAATGCCTAATAAATGTCAAAAACATTCAAATGTTAAAGTTTTAATTTCTAAAAAGCTTATTTTTTAACAGATATTAAATTTTGTTCATTTTGTTTTAGGGTGAATGGAAACCAAAACAGATTGACAATCCCAACTACAAGGGTGAATGGGTTCATCCAGAAATTGATAACCCAGATTATTCTGAAGATAAGAACCTATATTTGTACAAAGACATTGGCGCTGTTGGTTTTGACCTATGGCAGGTAAGGACTGACTCAAACATCCTCACCACTACACCAGTCCCCAAACCATTGTTCTACCTTATTAGTCACTGTTGCTACATCCTACAAGCTATGTGCTTTCGATATACAGCATGGAACATTGATTTCTTAAAATCGTAAATGCCTGCCTTACAATTAAAGCATTCTAAAGCTATGAAAAGTAAAAAATCGATAGCTACTAAAAATCTTTTGAATTCAAGTTTGTCAGACATTCTATAGAGTGGTTTTCATTAACCCAGGAAATACACTTAAGCACTACTTCACAATAATTCTTTTGTTTTCTATGTCATTTTGTGTTTAATACACTCTAATTTAAGTTCACTTTGTTTCATATGGTAATGAAAACTGCTCTATTCATTCTATACAGCATATTCTGTGAATACTGTTCAGTTTGTTGATGCAGGGTTTTGAATAGCAGGTTGAGTAAGCGGCAAAACTTAGTGAATAGGTGGGCAGCAGCGAGCAAACCTTTCTCACTTTTCCCTAAATTTTGGGGAATTTAACCAAAAAAGGTGGCGAGTTCATGTAAAATACCCAGCAAGATTCGCTGGCTGCCGGCTTCTATTAAAAACCCTATTTGATAGCTTTTCTATTACTAAAAGCGCATTTAAAGTTTCATTAAAGTGCACCTAATGTCTACAGGATGCCTTTGTTTTTTGAAAGGCATTATAAAGTAAATATGAATGGTATTTTTGATGGTGTTCTCATGGAAACGCCCTCAAACCCTTTATCTTTTGGTATCTTTATCATCTTATGGATGTTTTGTTCTTTTGTGTTCTTAGGTGAAAGCTGGTACCATCTTTGATAATGTTTTAATAACAGACTCAATAGAATCCGCAGAAGAAGCTGCTAAAGAATTTGAAAAGACTAAAGAAGGTGAAAAGAAGATGAAAGATAAACAAGATGAAGAGGAAAGAAAGAAGCAAGAAGAGGAAGACAAAAAGAGAAAAGAGGAGGAAGAAAGCAAGAAGAAGGAGGAGGAGGAGGAGGAAGAAGATGAAGAGGACGAGGTAGGTTAAATAATACTCTCTTCAATGGCAGCAGGGTTGGACGTGTTACATGCTTTGCAAGACTTGCTCTGTCATTGATAATAACAAGACTATTATGTGTATGAGAGTATTGTACTGTGGTTGTAATGTATATATCAAATTGAGCTGATCCTCACAGTATGTGAAGCAACTTATGCAGCTGCAAATTGAAAGACTCAGAAAAAATTCTGAGTCTTGAATGGGATTTGAACCTGTACCCTGGCGATTCCGGTGCAATGCTCTGACTTGGTAGCTCTTGGAAGCACTTTCATTATAGGTGTTATAGGTGATATTTGTGATATAACTTCATTAAAGTCTTCAATCCTTCAATTTTTGCAGGCTGAAGATAAGAAAGATGAAGATAAGAAAGATGAAAAGGAAGAGGCGAAAGAAGAAAAGTCAGAAGAAGAACCAGCTGAAGAAAAGAAAGATGAGGATGAAACAACAGAAGAAACGAAGAGGGATGAACTCTAATTTCCCAACATGAAAGTGGGAATTTTTTAGTTTTCTTCACCTTTTGTTAATTAGCTTCTTTCAATTCTTAGACTTAATTCTTTCTTTGAGGTCCAGTGTTGGTGTAAAAATACGTATGGCAGCCAGTTTATGTTATTGTCAACCACTCTATTTTTTAAAATATATGATCTCGCAGCCTTTGTTGCTCCTTGTAATAAGGTTAGGTCTTTAGTGAACAACATTTTACTCCTTTTTTTGTATCAAGTGGTACTTGGTTCACTAAAGGCTTCTTTGTAATCAAATTAGCAAAATTGACAGCGAAAATGCAAACACAACAAAGCAAAATCATTTCATGTATGCTTGAACATGATGAAATAAAAAGCGTAAAATTTAATTTTTGTCTAAAACATGAAAAATAGATGACATTGACAAAGTTGATGATATCTTCATGGTAACCTGGACCTAAACTTGTAGATTATGAGGGACAAAGGTATAATGTTTTTGCTATGAACAAAATTTGTCATACTCTGAAACAGCCTTGGGGCTAACCTAAGTGCAGTGAGGGCACAGCTAACTCACAATTTAGGGTTTTTAAAAGGGAGGAAACTGGACAAAGCCAAAGGGAGAGATCCATCACATTTTACTGATGTTTATAGTTAGTCAAAGAATCAACCAAAGACCTAAGAGATGAGAGCATGTGTAAACCTCAAATTTTGTTAAACAATTAGACTTCTCGCCCTCATGCTCTACAAGTTTGCAGGTAAGTTAAGTGAGGGCGAGTTATGTAAAAGACCATTTTATGGCTCGGTTCATTGATCACAGACTTATTATACAGGGTTAGCCCCATTTCAGTGTCCAAATATTCACAAATACCAACAGTAAAGTAAAGAATGAACAACTTCAACAATACCAACACTTTGAAATTCCATGGATCTTCATTAGAATTTATGAATATTCAAAGTAATTCCATACGATAGAGTTTTTAGAGTTAGAGTGATTTTACTTGGCCCTTGAAAAATAGTAAGCATAGCTTTTCCACTTATTCCAAACAAAACCGCAATTCATGTAGGATGCTCAATCCAAACAATGTTGATGCCTCTACGCATATTTGATTTCGAAAAGAAGCCATAAATTATTGTGCAAAAAGGAAAATAATAGGCCAAAGCACTGAATAGTAACTACATACGATAATTTAGTGCACTCCTATGCATTTTATTACTTTGGAAACTCATTTGATTATTCATGTCTTTTATTCATTTGTCTATTTTTATTTTTTATGTCGTCAATAAATAAGAAAGAACACTAAGTGTAACATAAAGTCTTTATCTGCTTAGGGTATCTTGCATTCTTGATTAAATGCAGTGAGGGATCCAGAACTATTTCATAGACAGCCTTTGCAAGATACTGTATATTTGTAGGAAATTTTGTATCAGGAAATTTTTCTCAATCCATAATTGAATGTAAAAACCTATTTTCTTCACAATTTTGTGAGCTTTTCTAAGAATTTAAAATAGCTATATTTTATGTCATATTCCATGTCATACCAAAAGTTTACAGCAATACACTTGTGGCTCTGCTGGACATGATGGAACCACAAAGATGGAAGAAAAAGAGTTTCTCCTGAATGAACTGTGCAAGTTATTGGTCTGGCTTTTGCATATTCAGGAAATGTTTCCAAGTCTGGATTTAATGGGTCGATAGAAATCCATGGAGTAAGATTCTCATTTTCCATTTCCCTGTCATCAACATCAGCACTGTCATCTTCATCGACCTCATCATCATCATCAACCTCCTTGTCACCTTCACAATGATTTTTTTCAAGGTTATTGACATCATCTCTTTGATTTTTTCCATGGATATCTTTGATTTCAGGAAGTTCATCTTGAAGCAATGCCTTCACTTCTTTATCCTCTTGTGTCGAATCTTCAACATCGACAATATCAAAATCTCCTTTTAAATTGTATTCATATTTTGCAGGTTTATAGAGACCATGAGGAATAAAAGGAGCATCAGTTGGTGGAATCAGAATAAATGTTTTCGTCCCAGACACGACGCAGTATAAGTTTTCATAATGGTCTTTATGCATTGACGTCACAGCCCTTTCATCTCCCATCCAGAAGTTGACTGCATCAGGCGACAACCCAAACGCTTCTGAGGTCCATGGAATGTCTAATTCTGCATCACAAATGATTTCAGAAAACTCTTCAGTAAAATTTGAATTCTGTTTTTGGATGTAAAATATTCCTTTTTCTTCTGTTTTATGATCAAGAATATCAAGAAACTGTTTCATTTTCATGGAGCGATCTTCCGCCATTACAAACCTATCTCCAACCACGGCATCAGCGTAGCCGTTAGGTGTGACAGCAACAGTTACTTCTTTATCCCCTATCTTCTCCCTAAAATAATCTGAATTCCAAAGCTTTAAGGCAGGCCAATGGTTTATTGCATTTTTGATGATTACTGGAATATTAGGACTGACCCACTGACGATAAAACTGTAAAGACGTAGGTGGTGCAGATAACACAGGAACCTCAGAGCTTAAATATAGTTCCCTAGCCTCCGTAGAAAGGCCCTGGAAGGCATTTTTCAACTTAAAAGTGAGATCCATGCTTTTTTCGTGACTTTTTAAGGAATTGACTATTTTTCACCAAGAAGTCAAAGTTCGTCCTCCATTTTGATTTTAGAAGGCTTGGCTACACAGGAAGTTGGTGATAGTAACATGATCCATAACCTTGAGGAAGGAATCTCGAGTGAACCAAAATGCTTCTAATACTTTCACAAGAACAAAAAGACCACCTAAAGTTCCTAACTACCTTAGATCTGGAGGTCATTCTCGAGTTTGTAAGGATCTCTCTCGATTTCATTCGCAAGGGCCCGCCAAATACCAAGATCTTCCAAGCCGCAGCCCAGAAACTGGGGGTGGATGTCGAGACGGTGAAAAATGGAATAAATGGCTTGATGCACTTATTTACTGAATGCTCAAGACTTACTATTGGTGAGATAGACTTTCAGGATTCTGTAATGACGCTTGGTTTCTCTGAGGAAGTTAATAAAGCCCTGTTGGAGGTCTATCTGGATAATCGGAAGGAGATTCGTGATATTCTGGCAGAAATGGCTGTCACATTGCCACAGTATCACAACTTGGAATGGCGGTTTGATGTGGAGCTAGCGAGCAGATCCTTACATCACCAGACAAACCCTTTGGTCTTAATGAAACTGCATACGAAGGAAGGCACTAAAGAGTCGGCTCAGATTGTCCAAGTGGATCCTGTTAATCTGATGCATTTGACTTCAGCGTTGGAGAATGCCATGCAAGAGATGAAAAGTGCTCACTGTAGAAGGATTGTCAGGAACATCAAATAGAATAATAGAATATTTAACTTTTTTTAAATTAAAAAATTAGGTTTGTTTCCAGAGTATCAACTTTCCCCTCCCCACAGGGTACGTCTCAGGGTCTCAGCAAACCCTGGCTTATGCTACTGCTATAGTACCATCTCAATGCCTAGAATAAGCATCAAAACACATTGAACAGTTAGTGAATACTTTAATAACATTTTTACTTCAAATTTGTAATTATTATAAAAGTTACAGTGTACTACCTTGAATGTTAAAACTACAGCTTTGTAAATACATGGCCAAATAACCCGGGGGGGTACTCCCCTATATTTGCTATATGGGTATGTGCCACCCTATAGGGTATGGTTTTTCGGCTTTTGGGTCTGGGGTAGGGTATCATTTTTTGACATTTTGTCTGGGATAGGGTATCAATGAATTTAGTCTGGGATAGGGTTAAGGATTTGGTCATTCTTGTCTGGCGAATAGGCTACGCTTTCTGCCAGCACAAAAACAATAAAAACGTTAGTAAGTATTGATTGCAATCTGTTGAAAAACCGTCTTTTCCGTCTTTTAGTCTGGGATAGGGTGTACAATTTCATATCAGTGATCATTAGTAGATCTAGTACAGATACAAGATAAGGGTCATGTTCTTTAGTAATTTTACTTTTTCGTAGGTACTCACTTGTATTAAAGGAAATGTAAAATGGAATTCTTTATTGGAAAGGTATTGAAGGCTTGCATAAAAGCCCTGAAACACAGAAAAAATCCCTCTTTTTATATCGGTCACAGGAAAATAATTTTGATGTAAATATAAGAGCAWGTGTGGSGTTAAGACAAAAGTTGAAAAAGTGTGATCTCACACTTATCTTTACTTCTCTACTTGGATGTAGAGAATATTTTTTCATAACTGAGAAAAGCTCAGCGCTGTATGCATTCTTTGTGGTGACCATGGTGTTTTCTAGAATTTTGATTGGCTGATTTTTTCTTGCAAAATGTGATTGGTCTGACAGAGCCATGACCTTGGTGTGACCGTGTCCATGCCGTGTTCATGCAGTGTTTTAGGTCTTTGATTGGATGGAGAGTAAATTCTCATGTAACATGATTGGTCTGGCGTATGCCTTGCCGTTTCATGACTGTATTTGTACTTGGAGCATTTCATAGTCATATGAAAACTCCTCTAGTCTTAGGTTTAACCAATCTTTCCAGGACAATGAAACATGAGGTAAATAGAATGCTATACACTATCTGAAGGAATATATCAAACAAATGGGTTTTTGATTTTTATAATCAAATTAGTTTGATAAAAATAAAAATATGTTTCATGATTTTTGAGCTGTTATTTTTTTCTGAAAAAAGTGTGCATTATACACAGGTGTTTACAGTATTAAATACAGATTCAGAAGATGTGGAAAGTATTATTGTAACACTTGTTTAACAGCCATTCTCAATCACATGCGCCGCTCTAACGTTTGTTTCTGTCGCAATGAAGAAGCTTTTGGTGGACATCAATCAAGGCGTTTCCATGACATTCTATAGGTACGTACCCTTATCGCTTTGTGTTTTCTGACAATGCTATGGAAACCCCTTGTGATTGACATCCACCAAAACCTTTGTCGCAACAGAAACAATCATTAGAGGCCGTGTGTGATTGGCTGTAATGGAATTATCAGGTGGGTGGGTGTGGTTAGTGGTGCCTGGAGTGGTCAATAGGTCACAGGTCATGGGGGAAGGGGGTGGGTCAAACAACAATTTAAATTTAACATTTTTTTTCATCTTACCAACCATCCCAAAAAATAAGGACAAATACTCCATGTTCATTAAGGAAACATTCCTCTTCAGATCTGGAAGTTTACAGTGGGAAAAAATACATGTATGTAAATAAGTAGATGTATCAATTAAGTAATAGGGAATCTCATAGAGGCATAGAGAAGGATTGCATGAAACAGATAAAATTATTAAATATTCAAACATAAAATGAATAAATGAGCAAATGAACAAACGAATGAAGAACAAACGAACGAACAAATGAACGAACGAACTGTACTATTTAATGTTCACGGTTTTAGTGTGTGCACTATAATGAGTCACACTGAATGAAATTTTTTAAGTGATATAGGATAAGGATACTTTTTGTATATATACAATCACTTACGTGTTCAAATTTTACAGTAATGATGAAAAGGTAATGTTTCACGGTGTATAATTTACCTTTTCATCATTACTGTTTCATTAGAAACACCGACGCAGCTCACACTAGTTTTTAGCTAGGGAATTTTGCATGCGCATGCACGCAGGATTTAAATATTGCAGAGTGCTCGAAGCTGCAACACAAACTGAAGGAAGTAGAGGAGAGCAGAGCGGTTATCAAGAGGAAGATCCAACAGGACAAAGATTATGAGAAAGAACAAAACGCAAGCTTGCAGGAAGAGCTGGATAAAGTGAGAGATAGGGTGAGCAGTTTAACACATACGGTTGATGAACTTCAGAAGGAAGACCAAGGAAAAGTCCTAGATTTGAATGTCCAATATAAGCCAAATGCTTTAACCAAGAGAATGATAGTTACCCTTGCAAACCAGGGCAATGTACAGGCCAGATATATTATACGTCTATTGGAACAAATTTAATTCCATAATTATATCCGGCCTTATGCGGAAATACAGCAGCGAGGTACGTCTAATTTGATCCATGCAACATTAAAAAATCTGGACTTCAATAATTTTCTTGGTATTTATTACTTTTTATATAGGAAAAAGCTCGATCTCGAGTAGTACAATTCGGAATTTATAGTGATGTTTTGAAAGTTTTCAAAATTGGACAAGCCTTAAGGCTACATCACGAGTATCTATAAATTCCGACTTGTACTACAAAGTAAACTTTGGGATTTAATTGTGCTTGACTTGTCCAATCAGAATAGGGTAACTTTGTCGAATTTATTATAACAAGCATAATATTGTATTTTTCTTTAATTTCGACCGCTGGTATGACAGCATGCGCTGGAACGAGTCCAGAACAGGCTCATCACAATCAGGGTGTGGCAGATAAGATACTTTGCCACACTGATTTGGTGAGCCTGTTCTGCACCAAATCCATTCCAGGGCATGGCTGCGTCAAATTCAGTAAAAAGATGGCCAGATGTTTCATGTCCAGGAAAAATTCCGACAGCAGGAAGCCTTCGGCGTGGTGTAAGAAGGTAAATAATGAAATTTGATGAAATTTTTTTTTTCAGTTTAATTTTGGGGTACAATAACCAGAGGAGCACCCTAAAAAGTGAGGGGGTAAGGTTGAAAAATATGTGAGGTTAGGGTGGGAAAAAACAGGGGACTACACGTATGATTGGAAAATCAAAGAGACTAGTATGTAGTTTCTTAAAAGAGACCAAGAGTAATTTTCCTTCTTTCCATCTACAATTTGCAGATGGAAAGAGAGAAACAACAAATAAGTGAGTCAGCAGACCTTCAGCTTTTGCAGAGGAGAGGGGGGTTGGACATGCACCCAATGGACCCCCTTGGTTATGGCCATGCCAAGGGATGAAATGCACAATGGGTAATGTGAATGCAATCAGCAAAAGGTCACGTTATGGAATTTTACCAATGAAATCTGCAGCTTTCCCCATCATATTTTCTTCTGTGCTGACATTACTCAAATATAAATTAAATAAATTTCAAGCTTAAATTTGTTTTTTCGTTGCCGTCAATTTAGAACTAATCATTTGGTAGCTGTCACATTTTTGACTGCTGCAGCTAATAACTAAATCTCAGTATGCAGCTTGCAGCTACAGAGTTTGCATGTTTATGGAAACAGCAGCAAAATACAGTAATGATTTTGTTTACTATAGTCGAATTTTTACACCCACTTTGTTGGTAATTATGCAACACATTAAAGAGCAGTTCATAAATCTGGCAACTGCTTGGTATGCCACATCATTTTGTTAGAACCATTGTTAGTATAATGACTACAGTATATCACTCAAATATCGCCAAAAACTGTCATTTCACATTGCTGTTTAAGTACTGCTCTTGGCTTTTGTTAAGAAAATAAAATAATTCTCTTCATTCATGACAGAGTTGTCTAGTCGTCTTCCTCATCAGATCCCTTGTCCATTTCCATGCTAATTTCACTGGTCTCGGTTGCAGTTATCTCTGGTTGGGTTTCAAAAGTTAACTGTTCAAGTGTCTGTCCAAGCATATGAACGCTGAATGTATCTTCTCTCTGGATACCAAGGGCTTTGTGGAAATAATCTATAGCTTCATAATGGTTTCCTCTAAGGCTGTGTACGAAACCAATAGCTGAGAATGCAGATGCTTTGTTTGGTACCAGAACCAGAGCTTGCCTGTAACATTCCATGGCCTTTTCATACTCTCCCAACTTACGATATGTGTGCCCTAGATTGCTAAGCAGTGTCTCCCATGTTTCTGAGAGGACTTCACCACTGATGTTCTGTGCTTTCTCAAGAGCATCCTTGAAGTGTTTTTCAGCTCGTGGATAATCACCATTTTGATACTCTATCACTCCCATTTCTTGTAGTACAAAAGGATCTTTTGGTGAAAGGGTAAGGGCTTGGGTAAAAAACCTTTCAGCCAGTTTCATATTATTTGTCTTTCCATACTCTAGACCTATGTATAGAAGAGGCAGATGACACTTTGGCATCAGCTTGGAAGCTGTAAAATAAGCAGCCATAGCTTGATCATGCTCTCCTTCAGCTGCAAATGAGTGGCCAAACCCAAGCCAAGCAGGACCAAACACACGTTCTATAGCAGTTGACTTGCTAAAATACCTGCGCGCCTGCTCATACTTCTCGATAAGATAATAGTAGCATCCAACTGCATACCAGGAAACTGCCTTTTGAGGGTAGTTATCCACTAATTTGTGAGCAAAATAAAAAAGGCTGTTAGCCTTTCTGAGCTCTACCAGGCAAGATATATGGATTGGTAAGCAGGACTCATGATATGGGTCAGAATTTAAGACAGCACTCGTCATCTTATGACACATGGAATAGCTACAGTTATAAAAATGTCTCTCGGCCATGTTGACTACTATGTCAAGGTTGTCGTTAAGGCTGTCCAAGGTTGCAGGTAGTTTTGGATCCTCAGGTTTGGTGTACTTCTGTAGTCTACTTTCATACAAGAATTTTAGAAGGTCAGACTCTTCAGTAGTGCATTGATCCTGAAATGGTAAAGTGTCTAACAAGTGTCTTTCTTCTTTGTCTGTGAGCATATGATGAGATATCAACAAGTCAAAGGCCTCGTAACAATGAACATCGATACTTAACGCCTCTTTATAACATTCTGTAGCAAGGCTCCTGTTATCCATCGCTTCATAGACAGTCCCCTTCAACAAAGCCACTACACTTTCTAACTTACTTGAACTACTGCAAAAACTGTCGTTAAATGAAGCAGAATCCTTATCTCCAGCATCTTTAGGCTCGGCATCAAGGATATCGAGAGCATCCTGCCACTGTTTGCACTCAGAGTGGCACTTGGCGGCAAGATAACGGCAAGCAAGGTTGGTTTGCACAAGACCTCTGCTCTTCAAGGCATGAGAAGCCCGTTGGAACTGTCCTGTCAAGAAAAGAGTCTGAGCGAACCAATAAACATCCTGCACCTCTCCTTTAGATAAGGAAACAGTTTTATCAGCCCAGAAAAGTGCTGTTTTATATTGATGGTTGTCAAGATAATGGCGGATCAGATTTCGAAGTTGAGAAATATCAATCTTCCCGCCAGTCGCCATTTTGGAAGTGAAAGCCTCTCATGGGATAAACCGCTTTCCTTATTATAACCCCAAATGCTTGTTATTAGGGGGAGGGAGAGAGTCAAATTATTTTACGTCCTTTCAAAAAGCGTCTACAATTTCAAATCGTATCTAAAATCCAACACAAACTTATGTATATGTATCATATTAATTGTACGATTGCATTTAAGCCGTGTTTCTGATTTCTCCCAATGTAATCAAATACCATTTTTGATAGATTACAACCCTCCCTTCCCTAGATTTTAGTTTTGTCGCACAGGCCTGCGAAGAGCTTTGGCTCGTAACTCAATCTTCATGCTCGATCCAATGGTTTTTGGTAGAGGGAGGATGTTTTAGGGGGCCAAGTTCTCCAAATACTCCACAATTTATGATATAAATGGAGACCAAGCTGAAGGCAGTTCTATAGTATTTCTTTTTAGGGGAGAGTTTCTCCCTAAACGTGTTAACTAGAGCAACATGTCGGCTCCAGGCGGCGACAAGCAAAGCAAAGCCAAGAGTAAAAAGTCCTCTTCAATGAAAGGCACTAAACCACCTAAAGGTAAACTACTTTAATTTCAAGGAACCGTAAAACTAAGCATAGAACTTATGATTACTCTTTTTACGAACGAGAAGAGATATTGAGACTCTCTTGCATGTGTGAGTTCAATATCATAAATTGAATACCACTTTTTAATTCAGAATGTTTAAGCCTATTTCAATTAAACTTGATGCAAGCGTGTTGCAAATCGTTTGTATTTATTCAATCATGCTTTATCGGATGTTTTTAAATTTATATTCAAAAGATTAATACGTTACGTTATAATAGGAAAGGAAGCAGTTATCAATGTCGAGAAGTTTAGGGGAGATGGTGTGAGCTTCAAATGCAAAGTAAGTAAGCTTTATATTAAAAATTATAAGCTTCCTACAGGACGGCTTTTTTCCCCAAGTTGAATATCATTATAAATCAGATATCCTTATGGATTTCTGGTATTTCCTTGTCCTGTAGCCCAGCTGTCTGGTCCATTTGTCAGACAGACTTACACACACTAGTGTTTATAACGCATTCTTCTTACGAAACAATAAAATAATAGTTTAGTTTAACACCATGATTAATAATTATTGTTATATATTAAGTTTATACTCAATATCTTATGTCAGAGTATTTTAATGGATGCTTGAGTACATTTTAAGTTACATGTATTTTAAATTCTGTTTGGATAATCTTTTGAAGAGTGTCGTTTGTATAGGGGTGTTATTATAAATAAATGTTCACATACTGCCTGATTCGCCAGATCTTTGCATATGGTGCTCCTATAAAACCCTCATTATTTTTTTGGCTTTTTTTCAACTCGACTTATATCCTTTATTTATTATATGACCGTGAATCTTAGAGCCTGGACACTAGCAAATYGAGCAATCTGATTGGATAGATCGCATCGCGGACTGGTCTAGATTCTCCAGTATTAACCGGTCCGATCGCATATAAATCTTACGGCGAAAACATTTTGTCCTTTTCAATGAAAAGTGGTCATATAATAAAACTCTTATCAACCGAGCTTGGTCGGTCTGTACGGGATAATCTTGACCTCGGTCGGGTACAGACTTCTGTCAAGATTATCCCGTACAGACCTCCCGCTCGGTTAATAAGATCTAATTATGATGCTTTTTACTCCCAGTTGAATGCTAAATTAGTGCTATGCTTTCCCATATAGAAATATTCATATAATTCTCATTGTTGCTCGTATTTGTTAATAGCACCCATTAACCCTATCCTTGTGGACATACGTGTCTTAATTATTACAAGACTTGACTTAAATAAAAATTGAAAGTGGGCCTATCTAATAACTGACTACTAGGATATGCATGTTAGGGAAGGGGAGGGAAGGGGAGGGTAGGGGAGAGGAGGGTAGAGGAGGGGAAAGGAGATGCAGCTACTGTAGCTAAATCAAGGATTTAAAGCAAGCCATCAGCTAGAGAGGCTGATCATTATTTGAAAATGTTGATTGAAAATAAATAATGGTTGGGTAACAGCTATTTATTTAGAATAAAATAAGGCTTCCCATATTTCTTTTTTCTATAAAAAAAGCCTGACAAAGCTACATTCTAACACAAATGCCACAAAACATCTTTGTACAATTGAAAATACCACTTCAAAGAAGCATTTTATCATAGTAGATCAGTTTCTAACTGTTAAATAAGGTTTTAATAACCCAAAGCGAAAATTGGGATAAAAACTCATACGAAGGTCTAGTTTTTGGCGTATTTTGCCATTATTGCTCGTTATTGACAAAATTTCCTCTTAATTCTCTTTCTCTGGTTTCATAGCAAACAATAGATGCTCATTCTCTCAGTTTCAGAGTTTCGACTAACAATGCATGATTCACCCCATTAATGGAATTTCAAGTTATCATGTCCATGTCTTCATTTAAGTCTTCAATTTATAAAAATCACTAATATCTCATGAACCAAATCAAGAATCAAAAATGAAGATTAGACCTTGATTTAGTCCATATGCATAAAACTTGCTTGAATAACCTTCAAGGCTGTCAACTCTCCCGGATAAACCGGGAGTCTCCAGATTTTGGACCGTGTCTCCCGGTCTCCAGATTAGAGTATCAAATCTCCCGGATAATCCCCGAAGCTGGCCATTTCTTGTCTTGT